ATGCGCTCGCCACATGATTCAAGGCAAGCCGTGCCTGAGTTGGACATAGCCTCCTCATCCGCTCCAAGCACAAGTGATCGTGACGAGATCCGTGATCCAATACTACCGACGCCCGAGGGCGCTCTGTGAGTCTCTATCTCCGATCACAAGAATCTTCCGCCAATCCTTTCTATGCAGCCACACCATCGATCCTGCCGTCCTTGTCTCATACACGTCCCATGAGTCGCGAGAAGGGCCACCAAACGGCTTCTTCCACGCTGGACAAAAGCAGTTCAAGCAATTTCTCTCCGAAGGTGTCGAGAATCCAGAATACTTCGAGCCATGGCCAGGCACCCATGGGCCGAGCTTGGAGGATGGACCACATAGTCTCCAAGCGACAGCAACCGAGGGCAAGTAAAGATCGTGTCACGCTGATGGTAATCTCCTAACAACGGTGAAGGACCCTGGATAGTGTTACCACCGTCCCACGAAGGATACAACTTCCCCAACCTCGTCCATGTTCACGCGCCTCCTATCAACGATCGATTGGCCGCCTTCGCGCATATCCACATGAATGAATCGTCGCCCTTACAACTTCCCGCTCCACCATCAACATGCCAGTGCGACGTGGGGATTTGCTTAGGTTGTGGTAAAGACCATGCCCTTCGACATCCCGCCGACACCGAAATGTCCTCACCCACGCCATCGCCACCACCATCTTCCTCTGAAGAAGACAACATGTTGGACCACCGAGAGACAAAAGCCGCACCGATCAAAATCGAACCCTTGTCCAGACCTTCACCAGATCTCAGCAAAATCTCGGGCCAAGCCACTTGCGAGCGATGTGGGAAGCTTTTCAAAAGACAAAACGATCTCCCCCGACACATGAAGACAGCTTGTCCCTACCGACCCATCGACCGGAACGCCAAACGACATTTCTGTCAGACTCCTGGTTGCAAGTTCAAGCATTTGAGGAGAGATAAGGTGATTTTGCATTGTCGGAAGGAGAAGCATGAGATCGGACCGGCATATTGAGACTTCCCTCAATCACGCTTGTGAGAGCAGGTTCGTGTTCGAGGGTCGGGTACGTTGTTTTTCGTCCTGGAGTTGATCAAGATCGCAGTGACACTGACTGGATCCAGGGATTATGTATCGCCTGCTTGGATCACATTCGCATAACGCACCATATCGGTGTCGACTTGCCAGACTCAGATTTGTTGTTCGTGCAATACCTCAACCTTCCCTTCCATCCTCCTCCACGTCGATCCTCAGCCCTCGCTTACACAACCACAACTCGTGCCATCCAGGAACACTACGCAATCGCGCTGCCGCACACCCCTTAGCGTTCCGCATTACACGTCCAATATGCGTTCGTGATGCATACGAGATCCTGGTCATCATCAAATATAACTTGAAATCCTGTCGTTTCAGATACAGGATGACATCCCAGTCCAGTGCTTCAGCTCTCGTGCGTGTTTTGGCGAGGTCGTGAAGATGGCGCCAAGCCCGGATCCTTCGATGGACTCTGATTCGCTATTTCAGAACTTCAATCTTACTATGACGAGGTGCGGAGCATGCCTCTCGTATATGTGGCCAGCCATTAGTGTCCGCGAAACATGCAGCAATGGTGTGTGAGACTCGTTGTCGTAGAATCGTTGATGCCAGAACCGCGGGCTTTTTTCCCCGTGATCAAACCAGCCCAGGTCATTGATATTTGGTCCCTTGCCTACCCTCGCAAAATAAAGCAGATCGTCAAGCTCAGACTCATTTGTCCTGATGCGATCTCTTTGCCAGAGTCGCCAGCGAATTTGGAGCTGCAATGAGGGTTCTCGAGGAAGTGGCGGAACTCGCAGCTCAGGATGGGACGCATGGGTAGACGTGATGAGTGCTGATTAGGCCACTGCGGACCGAAGATGGCGCAAATACAAGTCCTTGAGCACTTGAAAGTGTCGAAGTATCATCCTTCTCGTAGTAGGGGACGAGACAATAGCTGAGGCGATTGTAAGCATTTGAACCCCACTCACGTGTCTCTTCTGCAGTATAAGCACAACCCTCCAGCATTATTCAGTTATGCTTAAAGTAAGGGGGGGCTGACTTCGAATTTCTTTTCATTTGCTACAGAAACAGCAACTAGCTGTCGCCTTCATCACCAACGATCTCGACCTTCTTCGGCGCGGAAGGCGCAGCCTTTCTCGGGTCTTCCTTGACGACAGTCACCTTGCTGTCTTCTCTCCTGCTCTCATCAAGGCCAACTCCACTGTCACTGTCCCCACCGAGACCAATGCCTCTTTTCGCAGCATCCTTGTCGTAGCTGGAAGGGTTAATACCTAGAATGCCTCCCACATTATTACGATCTCCTGGAACGGAGAACTCCCTGAAAGCATATCTCCATTCGTTGAGGAAGAGTCGGATGGCTTTCCCGACCTTGTCTTTGCCGTTCTTTGAGTGATGGCCCGTACCGCAGATGGCGTAGACGGGTCGGCTCGAAGTCTTCTGCTCCTTCAGACAGTCTGACAGATACTGCACGGCCTCTTCTGGGTGCAGACCATGCAGATCGACGTACAGCTCCTTGTTGCCGCCAGCAGCCAGATTCTTGTTTCGCTCTTCGTACAGCGCTTTCGCGGCCTCGCGATGCTTCTCGCGCATCAGCTGATTCTCATTTTGACCTCGGAGGGACAGCGCCTTGGCACCGCGAGCATCATTCCTGTTCCACGCCTGAGCGGCAGACTGCAAGAACTTGTTACGCAGACCTCCATGCTTGAAAGCTTCGTGTCGAGCCTTCATGTAGGCGGAGTTGACCTGCTCACCCGTCTCAAGCCACGGGATGTCCTTTGGCGCAGCAATAGCCATGGCTGCAGCAGAATTCTCGCGAGTGGTCGTGAATGATCGGTTGTTCTTGAGCCCGCGCCGCATGGCATCCCGAGCATTGAGGGGCCCCGGAGAAGGAGACATGCGAACGACATCGGCAAGACTCCCAGGTTGCTGGGCAGAAGCAGCATGATGGTGATGGCCATGTCCACCTCTCTTGCCGTGGTGTCGCTTCCCGCCCGGCTTCGCGGCTGCCGATCCGAGTGTGGGAAAAGCTTCATCGTCTTGAAAGTTGGGCTGCGTGTTTGGCGTTGGGGCTCGCGAAGTATGCCTGCTGCCAGGTCGACTCCCAAATCGTGGTCCAGTCGGGACGAAACTAGGGAATAAGCCTGGTGTTGGTTGGAAGGTCTGCTGCTGCTGCTGGAGAGCGGCATTAAGCGTGTTCGCATCCACACTGTTGCTCTCGTCATAGGGATTGCTCGTCGTCGGCTGCAGAGTTGGGAAGCTGTCAAAATCGGAGAGTTGGAAGTTCGGTGGAAATTGCTGGGGCGCGTTCGTGCCGCTGTTCGCGAGGCTGAGTTGCGCCATAAGCTGATTCGGATCGTGGGAGAAGAGGCAGTTTTCGCCGGCGATGCAGTTCCCGGCCAGCCAGTATTTGCAAATGTGATTCTGCACTTCATGCGCAAAGCGGCAGTCAGCACGTGCGCAATACCCGCTAGCCAACCAGTATCGACAAACGGTGGAAGATTTCTGCTCGCCTGCCGGTGTAGCTTGACTCATTGTAGGCGACATACTCTTCCCCACCAGATACGTCCGGTTCTGCTCTTGCATCGCTGCTGCCATTGCCGTCGCTCCCATTCCTTGTGCTTCCATGAGCGAGTTGATCGTTTGGCTGAGGTCGTAGCCGTTGGCCTCCAAAATGACGTCCAACTCCTCGTCGCTCTTGTTGTCCTGCAAGATAGATCGCAGCATGTCGTAAGGGCTCATCTCGGTAGTATATGGTGACATGAATTCGGAGGAGCCGGGGAAGCCTGAGTCGCCAAAGCTGGTCTGGCTGCTCGCATCGTCGTTCACCAACCAGTCGACATTGTCGCTGCCGTAATCTCCGTAGTTTTCGGTGTTGGGTGACGAGTCGCTGAACTGATAGGCGCTCAATCGTGGACTGTGTGGGATGACTGGTGTTGCCAGAGGTAGTCGTGGTGAGGGTTTGGGTGAGGAGAAAGGTGAGCCAACCGTCTGCGACTTTGTCCGCGCCAGAGCCGGAGGTCCGAAGCCTGGCGGTACAGATGGTGTTGCTGTTGACGGTCGTGGAGAGCTCTTCCCAGACGTTGGTGTCGCTGCTCGCTGAATCCACGGGGCTGGCGAGAGAGAGCGGGCGACACTTACCGTCCTAGCTGGAGGCGGTGACGAAGCGACATTGCTGTCGGTATTTGATTTCCACTGCCATAATGTGCCCAGCACTGCATCTTCCAGCGCTTTTCCTTTGAGGGACTGCGGTGCAGCGGAGAGGAGCTCCTCAAGCTTGTCAGCCTTCTCCTCCTCACCTATGTGATCGTCGTCCAGGATCGGCCGACACAGGTCGTAAATGCGCTCGGAGACCATGATTGCATGTGCGCAGTGTGTGATATCGTGGGGCGCAGTCTACGTGCTTTCTCGAGTGTGGTAGGCGACTCGTATTACAATGATATCTAGCCGGAAGACGCAGACGTGGCGCTATGGCCGGGTGTCGCTGCGACAGATGGGAATAGGCGTAATTACGTATGCGGAAGCGAAAGGCACGGGGCTCACGTCAAGCGAGGCAGCGCGCTATTTTGTTGCTGTTGTTCGGGGTGTGATATTAGGAGAGGCGTGGGCGTATGGTGGTGGTGGTGGTGGTGGAAGGGAGGCTGGCAGGCCGATGAGAGGGAGAGGGAGGGAGGAGGGAGGGTGGAGGGAGGGAGGAGGGAGGGAGGGAGGGCGGGAGCTGTGCAGGACAGCGGAACGAATGAAAGGCGTTGGTCAAAGCGGCGGCTGTTGATTCTTGGCGTGAACTGTATCGTATTCCTCGACGCTGTTTCAGCTCTGCGACTCTTGGGCCAGAGTGAGCCTTACAATCGAAGGTGGGCGAAAGATTGGTGATTGATTCCGCATGTCATAGTCATACGCAGCAACGTGCGTTGTGGTATTCTATGCAGGTGGCAAGGAATGTGAGCAAGGATGAACTGAAGCTACCGGGCTACTGTCGCAACATCATTGCGCTAGAACAATCACATGCTGCATCGCATCTTTACTACAATCACTTCGGTCAACATGGCCGCGACGTCGACTCAACGCAGCCTCCCTGACCAGATCCTCAACCCTCAGGATCGGACACCACCCTCCTTCACCTTCGACAACTACCTCGCCCGAGCATTGCCAACACTAGGCGCTCCCTCCAAAGTCACACGCCCCATCTGTAATGACTACCGCCAGTCAAACGGCCAGCAATGTCCTCGAGGACCACACTGCCCGGACAGACATTACGTCCCACCTTCAGAACGCTCAGGAATCGGCCATCTAATCTGCAAACACTACCAACGCGGCCTGTGTAAGAAAGGCGATACCTGCGAGTTCGCCCACACCTTCAACTTGCGCGACGAGAAGGAATGCAAAGAATTCTCACGATACGGCATCTGCTCTCAAGGCGACGACTGCACATCCCTCCACATCCCACCCACCTCAGAGCTCCGTCGACCAGCATGCTCACATTACGCGCGAGGCTTCTGTCCCCTCGGACCCTACTGCAATCAAAGACATGTCAAGCATCAAAAGCTGTGTCCCTTCTACATGGCGGGTTTCTGTCCGAACGGCCGCGCTCATCCGCCTGATACTGACAAGGTTGTGAGCTGTGAGTATGGTGCTCACGCCAAGTGGATCAAGGATGAAGATATGAACCCGCGGAAGCCGGAGGCGAGGAAGATTAAAGACCCCGAGCAAGAGAAGAGAGAGCAGGAGGAGCGCGAAGATGAATTCTACGCGGAAGAGGAGAGGAGACGAGAGCGATTCGAGAAGCAATCTGGGGAGGGCGGAAGAGCTTGGCAGTACAAGAGAGGAGGTAGAGGCAGAGGGTTTAAGAGACGCTACTAGGCTTTGCTGGGGAGGTGAAAGAGTTGCTTGATGATATTAGCGAGGCATTGGGGACAATCGAGCGGCTATATTCAGAAGTGCTTCTGACCGCGCTTGATGATATTACAGTGAGCAGCCGAGCTTTCTATCAGCTATGATCCTCAGAAGAGACCCGTGCCAGCATTTGGCCCCAAACGTCTACACCACCTTCCCATTCCTTCGCATACACAAAGTGCAGTAGACGTGCCAGGAGCCTCAACCAGCCCCAGACCGAGATCTTGGTCGACCTAGAGTTTCGATCTACATGGCCTACAATCACTCCATCAGCAACGCATCCAGCCCAGCGCTCGAGAACTTGCACTTTCCACGATGCATATCACCCATACTGCCATTGATTTCCTCCTGGCCCGCCTCACGAAAGCCGGACCCCTGCCAGATGCCTCAGTTCGTCTTCAAACTGCCCAAGACCGTCTCGTCCAGCACATAAAATTGCAAGTTCAGTGACAGGAAAGTTATCCAGGAATCTGCGGTTGCAGATCATACAAGATGAGAATTGAAGTCGCGGTTGAGCTTCGGTGAGCACCGAGTTACTGCGGCGGATTTTGATAGTGGACCAGAATATTTTGGCGCGTGTCGGGCACATGTGAGGTGTTGTGCGACATGCTTTACCTATCTATATCAGCAACCAGCAACCAGAGTCGATGCTAGTGGCGTAGCAGGTTTCGCACCCTTCATGATCTTCACCGATGACTATGAGTCGGACCACGCTTTAAATCGTGAGAGATGGGGCAGAGCGTGAATCAGACAAATTGTTGCCGCAGCTGCACAGGTCGTGGGGCGTTTAAGATATAGATACGATTTCATCAGCTGTCTTCTGACGACGGCCGGGCAGTTAATCATGCTTAAAAGATACCCTGTAGTTGAGCACCGATAGGGCGGGAGGACTTACTTTCAAGCCAGCGTCAAAACTCAGAAAAGCTCACGAAGTGCATCAAACAAGACGACAGCAACAAACACAGCTTAGCAGTCTGCGTACATATCGCTAAATACCACTCATACAAGTCTCGGCTTTGCATTCGCCACCATCTCCTCCGGGCTCTCCCAACGCGGGCCATCCGGAGAGAAAAGACTCCTCTTATCAGTCCTAGCATTCCTCTTCACCGGGACCAAGCCTTTATAGTAATTCGTCGAAGTCGTCCTGCAAATACTGCTTGAGCTGGACGAGCTTGGAACGACGTATGAAGTGACGGTGACGGGTGGTGCCTTGAGTTCATAATTAGCTTGAGACGGACTTGTTGCAGAGGGGCAGAATGGTATAGCATACCGTGATTGTCACTGTGCCTCCATCTGAGCCGCCACTGCCCTGAGTGACGGTTACGGTCCCGCCGCCGCCGCTGCCTCCTGAGCCTACGGAAGCTGTGACTGTTGGGCCTTGCTGGGTAACTGTGGCGGTTCCTCCAATCGTGGTCACCGTTGGGCCGGAGATGTAAACACTCTCAGTCGCTGTTGCTGTGGAGTACTGGTTTGACACTGAGATGGAAACGGTTGTCGCAGTGACCTGGCGGAGATGTCAGCATTTTCACTCCATGAGGGCTTTGCGCGAGCTTTATGACTTACTGTGTTCGTGGATGCTGGAACGTATGAAACGCTGACCACTGTCGATACACCAACGGTGCTGATTACCGTGATGTCTCGGCTGACGACTGTGCTGTATTGCGTTATGTATTCGTAGATTGTTGTGGGTACGTATACGGTCGGTCCGGGGCCTAAAGCGAGATACTCGTCAATGATCTTTGCTTGGCAGAGCGCCTCGAGTCACAGCCTTTGCGCTGAAGGAATCAACGCCACTGTGTGAAATGGGGACATGCATACCTGTAGCCGTGACTGTTGGCCCAGGTCCGGTCCCGGGTCTAAATAGCAAGAGTCAGTCGACGTTGGCCATCAATTTGTTTGGAGAGAGTGTCATCCTACCCGTTGCCTGGATTCGTGTTGCAAGTCGCAACTGTAGGCAATGCTGTCACTCCATACTCTCCGCAAAGGTTCTCCGCAAAGGATATCACATCTACAAGCTGCATTAGCAAAGAAGTGATTGAGAAGCAGAAGATGCTACACTGACCAGCTTGTCCTTGCGCATTACATCTTTGGCTCACGCAGCAAGACCACTTCTCGAGCAGGTTCTGGTTGGAACAAATGCACGTAGCGTCATTCTCATCACATCCGTCGTATCCATCGATACAGAGCTGCGAGCAGGTCGGCAGATCAGTCACGCCTGGCAAATACTGGGTCACTGTCACGCCGGGCCCACTCTGCGTGACGGTAGGGCCAGGTCCACTTCCAGGATTGGTATTGCATGTGGCCGCCGTCGGAAGGGCAGTAACGCCGTAATCACTGCAAAGGGTTTGCGCAAAGGAGATCACATCAGCCTGACCCTGAGCGTTGCAGCGCTGGCTGACACAGCAAGACCATTTCTCGAGCAAGTTTTGGTTCGAACAAATGCATGTAGCATCTTCTTCATCACATCCATCATATCCGTCGATACAGAGCTGCGAGCAAGTCGGCAAGTCCGTTACGCCAGGGAGATATTGTGTTACGGTAGCCGTAGGTCCAGGCCCGGTGCCAGGTCCAGTTCCTGGGTTGGTATTACACGTAGCCGCGGTTGGAAGAGCTGTAACGCCGTATTCACCACAGAGATTCTGAGCGAAAGAGATCACATCGGCTTGGCCCTGAGCATTGCAGCGTTGGCTGACGCAGCACGACCACCGCTCAAGCAGGTTCTGATTCGAACAAATACAGGTGGCGTCGTCCTCAGCGCAGCCATCGTAGCCGTCGATACATATCTGAGAGCAGGTTGGAAGATCTGTGACACCAGGCAGATATGCGGTTGTGACACCACTGGGCATGTTGCCACCTCCGCCTGGGTTGGTCGCTCTCTTGACCAGCCTGGCAGAGTGGGTGTTCGCCATGTTCACGCCAGTCGTACCATCCTTCAGCAGACAGTTATCGGTCTCTTGGTCCGCGATGAATGATACACCGGCACACTGAGTAGATGTAGTGTTGATAATGTTGTACATATCGCAAGAGTTGATGCAGTCTGAAAGTCGGCCTTGAGTCTGCGTGACCAGAGTATTGTCTGAAAAAAGTGTATTGCACAGAATGGTATACTCTTCTCCCATGTTATCGAGGAAGCTGGCGCCGTTCGCGTATGGGCAAGTAGGCAGAGCAGTTGTGACGCCAGAGTTGGTTGATGAGGGGCTGCCTTCAGACGTGCGAGTGCTAATAGCGCTCGTTGTAGGTATCTGGGTGTAAGTGACCGAGCTACCTTGATCGTCAGTCGTGGTGACGATCTCTTGTCCAGGGCGACTCGTCATGCTACCTCCTCCACCGATAATGACATATCCTGGGTTCGGGCAGACGGAACCTTCAAGACAGGTTGTGTAGGTATAAGTGGTGTGAATAGTCACATAGCCAGTGCCAGAAACGACTCGTGGGCAGGTAGCTCCTGTCGACGTTGGTGTGAAGATTGGAGGAATGCTGCTGGATGCGGGCCCAACGGGCCCTGATGGAAGGCCGCAGTTTGAGCCATCTGGACAAATCGTGGGCTGGATACCGCATGTGTAGCAGACACTTTGCGGAACACCTGTTTGAGAGATCGCAGACGGGCTCGTAGTGTAGACATAAAACGACCCAGTCGAGCTGCCACTCGTGATCGAAGTGAATGAGCCGCCGGGCGGCAGAGTAGACACGACAGTAGTCGTCGTCGGCGTCAAAGTCACGATAGAACCAGAGCCAGAAACGGTAGTTGTTGGCAGGCCAAAAGTAGTGGTCCCAGTCACAGTTGTCGTAATCGAGGGCACAGTCTGAGTCTGGGTAGTCGTAATGGAGGACGCACCGTAAATCGGCGGTGGAAGCTCTTCCACCTGTGCGGCGCCCACCGCTCCTGGGAGATCGTACGTTCCGGTCACCTCACTGAAGAGGGTGCAATTGGTTGGTGGGAGGAAAGTCACCGCAACACAACCTGTTGTAGCATCGCAAGCGGCTTGACAGGTAGCAAGGTCGGGAGTCTCGTATCGTTTTCGGAGCCGTGCAGCGGTGCTGTTGGACTTGTTCATCCCTGGCGTAATCTGGTCGTCTGGGATGGTTGTGCCGGTGTAGCCGACGCCACAGGCGAGCTCATACGTCTGTCCACTGCTTGTAGCGCATCCATTGAGGGTTTGACCTGAACTTCCACAGACGTCGCTGTATGCAGTCGGACACGGCGGAGCTGGAGAAGCGGAGGCGGAGGCAGACGAGGTCGGCGAGTATGAAGTAGAATCTGGAGCCATCGAAGCGGTCGAACTCGTGGCGTCCGTGATGGCTTGATAATAAAGCTCGGTGCAACTGGCCAGTTCCTCTTCGCCCCTATCCAGGTAGATGGTGGCAAATCCACCCGACCCCAGGCAAGCAGAAAATTTGGAAGTGCCGTAGACTGCGAGCGTTCCGTTCTCACAGACAGACCATCCGTCTACAAAGATGGCTCCAGGCGATGGCGCATCCGACCACGTAAGCGCCCAGTCAGCGGCAATGAACGCCAACAGATTTTGATCGTTTCGAAGGACTCCATCCGAGACCGTGAAAAGAGTATACTGCTGTCTTTTGACTACGGAGCGATTCACGGGATCACCAGAGGCGTTTCGGATGGAAATCTGGAATGAGCCAGGATAGTCATATGTGCAGCCAGAAGGTGCCGGAGGCGGTGTTGGGGTAGCGGTCGAAGAGCTGTATGCTGCGGGTTCGGATGTCGACTCAGTCATGCTGCTCTCCATGGTGGAGATCGTGGTTATTTCCATGGCGGAGCTGAACGTGAGGCCATCTGAAGTCCATTCTGATACAGTTGTCTCAACGACCGTGCTCTCTGCGGCAGTGGTTGGCTCAGGCTCGATCTCGGCTGTAGAAGAATACTCAACGTCGTCTGACATGGAGGAGTACACTGCTGTTGACAGGTAGTATGTCGGTTCATCCGGCAGCGATGGAGTTGGCTCCGGTTCCCAACTGGTCATCTCGCCTTCCGAAGTCCAAGTGAGGCCGTCCGATGTCCAGGTAGAAGCATCAGTCGACTCGGCCAAGCTGGTGGTGGCAGAAGACAATGGCCCGGTGTAAACAGATGAGGAGATTGTCGACGTGGTTGCTCCCATACCCATCGGAATTGTGTTCGTGGTCTGCAGTCCAGTCGTGACTGATGACAAGCTAGTCGAATAGACAGATGTGGTAGCCACACCCGATCGCATCTGGTAGACCTGAATTCCATTGATATCCCAGTAGGCCTCAGTCAAGTTCTGGGGATTGTTGCCGACGAAGTCAACGCATCGGTCCAAACTATTCGTTGCATCTGACTGTGGACAATTCGGATATTGAGATGAGTATACACTCCCTGCCCATGATCCACAAAAAGCAATGTTGATGACAATGCTCATGTTCTGAAAATGCGAGTCGATGTCGCAGCTACCTTGCGCATTCACTGCAGGTACTCCAAACTCAGAGACATCTGGAGCTCCGGCAGTGATACTGTCCGGAATGCTGTCTCTGGGAAACCACCAGTGCTTGATATAGTTCGAGGTCCACTCTGTCACATAAACGCCGCCTCCATTGTCGTTGAAGTCGACGCCGTAATTGTTTGGCAAAGCTGTAGTATCCTGAAGCTCTGAACCACATCCACGGTTGTCAGCCACGGACGAGTCGCAGTTGGCTGATGTGAAGGTGGCTACTTGGTCATCACCAGCAATACTGCAGTTTGGGCTGGTGTGCATAGCCATAGTGTTGAATCCGACAGTATTGACGCCTTCAATGATATCTACATAGTGTTATTAGCTGTTGGGTTCGTCATTCCGGGATGCTCTTCCTACCTATCTCTCCAGTACCAGGCCATTCGGGACCCAACAACCAGTAGGCGGGCCATGTTCCACAGCCAGTTGGCATATGCGTCGCATCGAAAACGAAAAGACCGTGGTAGTAGCTGTTGTCGGAAGTAATGCGGACACTTGGTCGCCCCGCTCCTGGTCTTGGCCACAGATTGGTCGTGTCTGGCTGAATGATAGCCGTATCATAGTCCGAGATATATGTGTATTCATTCTGCTCGGCGACTGATTGGTTCACGTATTGAACGTGGGCCCAAGTCGGGTCATATTTGTCGTAGTAGTTGAACTTGTCGAAGAAGTTCTCGGCGCTGTATTCGTCGACCAACTGGTAAGCTGCTGCTCCCGGAGCTCCAGATCCAGCAAAGTATTGTCCTCCGGGATAACTCTGTGCTGAGACATAGGAAATCGACGAGAGCAGCGCTGCCAGAGCCGTCCTCGAAGCGAGTGGCGAGGACTGCATAGTGGCTGCAATCGTGTGGCCTGAGAGAAGGATTTCTCACGAAGCTCACAGTCCTCTTCCACTCGAATGATGAACAAAATGCGGATAGAGACACTCAATGCATGGAAGCGCTAAAAGGACTGGGGCAGATGGAGGACCGCGTTGTTGACGAACCCGACCTACCTGTACATTCCTCACCAGCCCAGCAATGAGGATGCAGTCTGAGCGCTCCATTCCCGGCTTCGGCTCGCGAGATGAATATGGCCCTCGCCACATGGGACGCAGAGCATGCAGTAGATCGCCATTTCTGTGTCCAAGACACATTGTGAGTCCAAGTTTGCATAGGACCAAGATCCTACGCGTATTTCCATAGCTCCTAGAAGACGGTCTTTATCATGCGGCATGCTTCACAGGCTGCTGGTGTACTCTGCAATAGGAGAAACTATATGATAAGTGATCGATAAATCTTACTTGGTTCATGGCAACCTGGAAGATTATAAGGCACGTCGTGTTGTGAAAGTCGTGATGTTGTTCCCTCTGCGGTGGCCTGAACTGCACTTAGACTCGCGTTGCTCTCCATTCACTCCTCCCCCCCCCCCCCCATGCACTGCACGAACATTGCAATATCTACAGCACTACATCTACACATCACCATCAGAAGCACAAAATGCTCTCCCGGCCAGCCACCAAACTGTCCCTCCTGCCCGATGATATCGCGGCCTACGAACAACGCAAAGCCCAACGCGAAGCCATGAAGCAAGATGAAGAGCTCGGCGGCAATATGTACGGCATCGACGAAGCGCATATGCAGCAGTCAAAAGCAAAGGCGAAGACCAAGGAGCAGAGAATTGGTATTGGCAGTTCAAGAAAATGATACAAGCCGGTTCAGGTTGCCCACTCCAATCGCTGGCATTTCCAGATAATGGCTCTCCTTGCTGAAAACCTGGAGTGCACATTCCAGCGCGCAAGGCGCAACAACATGGCCCAAGGGAGGCACACGCCTGGCTTCCGCCCGAGGGAGCAGAACTGCTGCTCGCCATCATCCTTTTACTGTTGGAGCACGGGATCCATGGGAACTACCATCGATACATGAATAAATCACATCACCACGAGCTCTTCTATACAGCAAGGCGGATCGGCGTCCAGACTCAGCGCAGAACGCCATTATGGCTGCCAGAAGCATTGGGCTCAGCCTAGCCATAACTGCCATCATCTTCTTCGTCTCCCTTCTACGACCAGCATATGCCGAGGTGCAGGCTGCGCTCAATCAGGACCTTCCAGATGTACCATTGTCACCACTTGAGCTACGCTTTGAGCTCAACGATGCTGGTAGTCCAGACCTCGGTGGGAAAGTCGAGAAGAGAGCAGCGGCCCCAACAGAGCAAAATAATGCCACGGGCGGCCATCACATGTACAAGCGACAGTATTCGACGGGCTCTGGCACACCTTATTGGTACTCGCAGATAAAACGCCAAGGCAGTCCAGCTTACGGCAACAATCCCAACTACAAGATCTGGCGCAATGTCAGAGACTACGGCGCTAGGGGCGATGGTGTGACCGACGACACTGAAGCAATCCAGGCTGCCATTGCTGATGGCTTTGATGGCATACGCTGCGGCTTTTGGGGCACTCCAGAAGAACTGGAAGAACCACGCAACTGCGAATCGCAGACTACAACTCCAGCTGTCGTCTACGTGCCTGCAGGGACATATCTGATCTCCAAGCCAGTGGTTATGTGGTACTACACACATTTCATTGGAGATGCCAACAACTTGCCTATCCTGAAGGCGACTTCCAACTTTGATGGCATCGGTATCCTTGATTCCGACCCGTACATTATCTATCAAAAGCAGTGGTATACCAATCAAAACAACTTCTGGCGCAACGTACGCAACCTCATCATCGACACGACAAATGTTCCAGCGGGAACCAGTGTGCATGGCATTCACTGGCAGGTCTCGCAGGCCACCACCATGCAGAATGTTGTCTTTGTTATGCCGATCGGAGGGAACAACCCACAACATCAAGGCATTTTCATGGAGAACGGATCCTCCCTCTTCTTGGAAGATCTCATCTTCATCGGAGGCCAGTACGGTCTGTTCGCCGGCAATCAGCAATATAACATGCGCAACTTGACATTTTATAATTGTGATACCGGAATCTTTCAGAACTGGGGCTGGTCATGGAGCTACAAGAGTGTGACTTTCAATCAGTGTCGCGTTGGGTTTGATATGTCGCAGGGAGGCGATGGCGAACCCTCCGTCGGTGGCGTTCAGATTACAGATTCCACTTTCAACGACTGCGACATTGGCATCCTCGCACTTTTCCCGGCCAATGAAACTGGGAAGACTGGATTGGGAACGGGAACCCTGGGGCTTGACAACGTGGAGTTCGTCAACACAGACCCGGCGATTGCGTACCCGAATGGCACTGTTGTCTTGCCAGGCAATCAGCGGATCGCGGCATACGCTCAGGGCGCAGCATACACTATCTATGACTCTGACCAGGAAGTAGGCAGCGAAAGGTGCTATCGTCCGACTGCCAACATGTCGCGTACCCAACGAACGTTCAATGCGCCACCAAAGAGCCCGAGCCTTATCGATGAGAACGGCCGATACTACGAGCGAAGTAAGCCGCAGTATGAGGGAGTTCCGGTGTCACAGTTCAAATCGATCATGGACTTTGGATGTCCAAATGATGGAGTTACAGATGCGACAGACTGCGTGCAGCGTTTCTTCGACTCTCTCACACCGGACCAAATCGGATTCATCGACCACGGCGCCTATGTCATCACCAACACCGTCACGATACCAAACAATGTCAGGCTTCAAGGTGAGGTATGGCCACTCTTCATGGTCACCGGACCCCGATTCCAGAACGAGTTCGCACCCATCGTTGCCTTCAGAGTTGGAGAGCCTGGCGATGTTGGAACCACCGAGCTGGTAGAAATTCTCTTCGAAACCATCGGTCCTGTTCCAGGCTGCATCATGATGGAGTGGAACCTCGCCGGTGAATATCCTGGCGCGACCGGCATGTGGGACACGCACTGGCGCATTGGAGGCAGCAATGGTACTGAACTACAGCTCACCCAATGCGCGAAGAATCCGCGGATTGCTCACGGCGCCCAGAAACAATGCTGGGCCGCATTCCTGAACGTCCACTTTACGCGGACAGCCAAGAATGTCATGGTCTCCCACAGTTGGGTTTGGATTGCTGATCACGAGCTTGACCTGCCCGGGCAATCACAAATCGATATCTACAACGGTCGCGGAATCTTGATCGAATCGGAAGGTCCGATGTGGTTCTACGGATCAGGTTCAGAGCACAGTATGCTGTACAACTACCAATTCGCAGGAGCCAGTAATATCTATTTCTCCATCATGCAGTCGGAGACAGCTTATATGCAGGCCAACCCGAACGCTCTTGCATCGTTCACCGCTCAGCCTGGACCACCATGGAACGATCCTACGTTCGACGATTGCTTCTTGGGCAACTGTATCAAGGTAAGCTCAGACCCAAACCGTCATTACATAAAACCTAACACACCATTTTCTTTCCCTAGACACAAGCTGTCCGCATCTTCAACAGCACCTACATCTACGCCTACGGCCTCGGTCTTTACTCGTTCTTCCAAAACTACGATTCGGCCTGCATCATCACCACCAACTGCGATCAATTCAGAGTCTACATCGAGCAGAGTCAAGGTGTTTACCTTTACGGCTATACTTCCGTCGCTGCGGAATACATGGCTTATGTGGACGGCGTGCCCATGGTACCTTCCCAAGCACATTTTGCGACGTTTGGTAATACTGTTGCGGTGTTGGAGTATCCTTGAGAGGCTGGGCTGGGCTGGACGAGCGAGCGAGCGAGATTGAGATGGAGCGAGAAAGTAGATTGGAAAGTAGATTGGAAATGATTGGGTGAAATTGCTCACGTCGGAAATTCTATGTCCTTATCCTTCGTCGTATGACTTTATGTGGGGGACTAATACGCATTTGAAGCGTTGGCCGAGCAGAACAGCGGAGGAGATTGGAAAGTTCTCTGCCCTTTACACATCAGCCTTGTTCTTTCGTCTCAAATCGTAGTCAGGTTGCCGGTAGGGCGCTACCACCAGGACCTTGCAATTCGAGACCTTGTCCCTCCAAAATGCACGTTGTAACGTAGAGCTGACTTGAAAGGAATGCTACTACGGAGTCGTCACGCACGGAAGAAAAAACATTTCGAAGTCACAGTCCTGATCCCGCGGAGAGGGTGGTGTGAAGGTCCAATTCAGCATGGACAGACACGTGGAACAACGTCCTCTCGCAGTACCTGTCGTCTCGGCCGATAATCATTGTGTCAGTTGCCGCTTCATTGACTTCTGACCACAATCGCATACATGTACAGTCAACGACATAGACTTTTGAAATCCGCAGATATGTATCATGCCATAATATTCTTCCGATGCACATCAATCTTATGAGCATCTTTCTTGCCCCTCGACCACGCATCTTCATCAATTGAGTCCATCTCGCGTCGACGTGGCGCCGGACCCCAAGTGTACTTATGCTTCTCCTTCTCAATGAAGTCTTCGATCAACTGCTTCGTCTTTTGTCGAAATCTCACGACTTGGCTCTTGCTCGAGAAGGCGGGTGCATTTGGTTCAGGCGTGAAGAGGGCTGACATCAGGTTGTCTGCTTTGGCGGTCGAGGCCAGCGATTGAACATCTTCATTGTCATCGAATACGGAGTAGTCGTTATCCCAGTCTTCTGGCCCATACCCATCTGAGCCTGCGTCGTCGAAATCTATGCCGGAGTCGTTGGCACTGGGTAACAAGGCATTGGTCTCGTCCGCGTTCTCATGAGTGTGGCCGAAGATCTTTTGTCTCCCGAGCCTGGTCAGTGTAATTGCTTTCGTGTTGCCGTCGCTTTCGAGGACCTCAAGATCAACCAAGCAATTGAGGATATCGACGGCTTCGGTCTCTACTTGGAAGCGTGTGCCGAGATCCGGATTGCTCTCAAGCTCATCGTTGATGGCAGCCACGAGGATGATGCAGTTTGCGGAGTCGTTTTCGAACACACTTGCAGCAACACGCTTCATCATCTTTTGAAAGAGAAAGACACGTTGCGGACTAATCGGCGGGGTCTGTTTCTGATTCGGATCTCTCATAACTTCGTCGACCTCCTCGTTTGATTCTGAGTCGGAGTCCCTGTGCATGATCGTGTCCTCGTCGAATGGGACCTTGCCCTCGCCCTCGCCCTCGTCTTCAATGGTTACAAGATGAGGATTGTTATGATTAAAGGGTCCTTTCAAACGATCCAGCTCGGCTTTTCTCCGGGCCTCTTCCTCTTCGATGCGTGCTGCAAGTGTCTCTTCCTCGGCCCTCGCAGCGCGCCGTTCTTCCGCTTTCCTCTCTCTTCGTGCCATCTTCTGCAATTCCTCACTGAGGGCCATGATGTAGCTATTCCTTTTATTTGCGTAGCAAGTCCTTTCATTTCCATTCTTGTTGTTTGCGTTCGTAAGCTTGCGTGACCATTCCCCTGCCAGGTTGTACACCATCTCAAATGCGTAAGCTGCTGCCACCGAATTGTTCGCAAGGCCGCAGAAGACGATGGCAAGCTTGGTCTTGTTCCGGCGATAGCTTCGATAAGATGCTTTCGTATCGAAGAAGAGTTCGATAGCATGCACCATGCGGTAGAGCCAAACGGCCCGGTGGACTCCCTTGCTAGAATCGCCATCGCGGTGCGTGAGATGAACGATACTCTCGCTGACATAGTTTTGCTGCTGTTCGGGAGTCGCATGCTCAAGTACCTCGGCCTGGCTTACATTGTACTGCTTCATTCGGCGGGTAGCGAGCAACAAGGCTGCTTTAGCCTCGCTTTCTGGTGTGTCGGGATGTCGAGAGACCTCTAGACATTTCTTAATAGTAGCAAGAATGCCCTCCTCGACATCCGCGACCGATGAGCGCACTGTCATTGCAGCATCTGCCGTCTCTACAACGGTAGCCTTGAACAATAGCGGTGCACCAAGCGTGGGAGCTTTCCTCTTGAGAATCTTTGCGTATTTCGCCATGATAATGCTTCGACGTTTGTCGTATCCCTTCTGAGTTATTTCGCCGTCTTGGAATTCCAAGTCGAGAAGGTCGAGTTGCTTTCGAAGGTTTGGAGGCATATCAGCCATGTCATGTGCTTCCTTAGGAGCCATTGGATGTCGGACTCGTTGAGTAGTCTCCTGGTTGCAGTGTAGGTCAACTACAATTGCTGGTTGGCGCAGATCTTCATGTTGGTATTGGGTCTTTGCACAAAATGAATTTTGCAAAGAGAAGAGAGTCTGAGTGCGTTGCGATCACAGCCAGGGAGCTGTGGAGGCAGCAGCGTTTGCCGTTTGCACAGAGTGGCGACGCGACGCGCTGCTGCAGCGCGACCTGCCGCGGAATCACGTGATAACTGCTCATGCCCTCATCAAGTGTCAGCTAAAGTATGGCTTTGACATTGGATGACTTACAGCATAGTTTGCGCACTTGCGAGGAGAGTTCGTCAATGCGCCGAGGAAGTAGAGAATGATGTATTGCCACAACGCTCCTGTGATCCAATTCAAGATGAACAGGAAGAAGATCGCCACAAAGCCGTCGTCGGTCATAGGGAGCAGAAAGGAAGAGGGGCGGAGAGGAGTAACATGTACTCATCCTCACTTCTTTGTATCTTACGATACTCCTCATTAGAGAGCCATGTATAGGGCGATAGGAACAAGCTGGCGACAGGGAACTTGGGCTCACCATGCTTGAGCTCATCATAGTTTGCAGTTGCGGTCGCTGCGGCGTGGAACAGCTGGCCCCTCTGTCAGTCATCTCATCAAGCCTAACTTATCATCTGTTCGACCTCGAATCGTCGAGTGAGGTGTTCGCGATAGCATGAAGGAAGGTGAAAGAGTTCATTTCGGTCAGGGTTTGATGGAACGGATCGGGCTCCCGCCGGGTTTGAGCGACGGACTTGGGCGCCGGCAAGGGTGAAGATGCTGTCCAGAGATGTGTGATAAGCCAGATAGATCGATCCACTATTACAATGCAAGAACGTTCGCAAGCTGTGGCTCGCAAGCTGTAGCGTTGTCGTAGCGTTGTCGAGGTACAAATAGCGCTTGCCGTGTCAAAGGACAATCCCATCATCACCTTCCAGTCAACACCAGCCATGAGTATGAGAAATAGAACTTGAACACCGGAGTGGTGGCTGCGAGTCATACGAGGTATCGTGATTTATCGGAATGCTTCTCTACAGATCCCAAGGACAGCTCTCCCAAAATCGCTCAAGAAAGATGCTTGCTTTGTAGTACATCGTTTTCTGAAGCCATGCTCCTGCTTGCTGCACTCACGCGCCTGATGCGAATTGACTATTGCGCACTGCTGCGGGTGGTGCGCTTGTTCAACTCATCCTTGGCCTTGTCAGCGCCCGACGCAACAGCATCTGCGACATCATCCTTAGTCTTTTGTGCGGCAGCCTTGGCCTTCTCGGCCTTTGCCTTCAACTCTTCCTTGCTTGGGGCGGCGGAGGAGCCGACGGAGAAAACGACGAGGAGAATGGTGATAATGGCGAGAGCGATCGTGCCGGCCACTTCCGGAACGAACTTGACAGCGTCGACTGGGTTCTTCTGGACGAGCTCAAGGAAGAGAGCGGTCTTCTCCTTGATGTAGAGAACTGGGTCCTCCATGAAGACAAGGTCCATTGGAGACTTCTTGGTGTCCCCAGCTGGCAAACCAGCCCGCTCAGCCTCCAGCTCCGATGGATGCTTGATGTCCCAGGTCTCCTTCTTGAAGGCCTTGGCCTGAGCCTCGTCGTGGCCGATGTAGATGTTGTCAAAGAGGATATCCTCGTTCATCGTCCAAAGCTCGAAGCCGATCTAGGAAAGGGATTAGTAGAGATATGAGATCTGATGCGTCAGTGTCACTTACAGCGCCCATTGGCTCAAAGTCGGATGGCGACTTGTCCTCGAAGAAATCTGGGTTGGCGATCTTCCGTGGCTCCCAGACACCCTTGTACTCTGGGTTGTCAATCATAGGAGCGGACCACTTGCCCTTGAAAGCTGGGTTCTTGATCATTGGCTTCTCCCATGGGCCACAGCCAGATATCTCATCACACTTGGGGTTGGGGATTTGTGGTGGGATCCAGTCACCGTCCTCATCGTCCTCCCAGTCCTCTGGCTTCTCAGCAGCTCGGTCTGGAATGGTGAGCGGCTCATCTTCGAGCCAGTCCTCTGGCTTGGTGGCCTCCTCGTCGACAATCTCGTACGGCGCGTCCTCGTCCCAGTCCTCTGGCTTGGTGGCATCTGGGTCGCGGATCTTGGCCTCATCAACCCAGGTGTCTGGCTTCTTGTCATTTGGGTCGTCAATCTCAGCTGGTGGGTTGACAGGTGGGACGAAGTCCTCGAGGAGGGAGCCGTTCTTCACACTGCCGCCGTTGATCAAGAGCTCGAAAGTCTGGTCTGGACGGACGATGAGGGAGTAGAGGTTGGACAGCTTATCAATCTCGGCGGGTGGGGCCCTTTCCAAATGCTTCTCCTCGTATTCGCCAGTTTTTGGGTTCTTGTGGCGGAAGATGAAGTGGACCTTGTTAGTAGCACCGCACTTGTCTGGACCAAACATGATGATGTATGGCGAAGCATTGGAGAACTCGTCGGAGGCCAGAGCGGCATTCTCCTGGAGGAGCTTCATGTAGGCACCACCGCACTCGAGGTATTGCTGGAACTTGACCTCATATGAGATAACCAGAGACTTGCCCTTGTTGTCAATGGGCTCGTCAAACTTGGCAGAGATGGCGTGGTGGGCAGCCTTGTCCTTGGCCACCAGGCCCTTGTCGCCGGCGATGCCCTTGAAGACGGTGGGCTCCTCGACTGCCCAGTTGCCCACATACTGCCATTCCTCCTTGGTGTTCTCCTTCTTAGCGTGTGAAGCCTTCCACCGAGCGTCCCAGCCGTCGGTGAACTGCTCAATGAAGGGTGCCTTCAGGGTGGTTGGCTGGGAAAATGGCCAGGTCAGTGGGAAGGCGCGACTCGAAGTACTCGAGGATACGTACTGTGAATTGGGGCAGCGAGGCGTCGGCTGCTGATGGGGCGTCGACTGCTGATGGGGCGTCATCTTCTGCGGATACCAGAGCGGCGGCACCAAGCGCCAAAAGCGAAGTGACCTTCATCGTGTGCCTGCCGTTGCCGTTGCCGTGGCCGTGGCCGTCTGCAGACGAAGTGCAAAGGAGTGTGGAAGGAGATGTGGAGGTTGGAAAGAAAAGGCAATGTCGAGGTCGAGGGTGAAGAATGTCGAATGGTGTGCGATATTTGAGTTGCGCGCTGGCTGGTGGTAACGGACAGCTGGCTCTAATAAAGGTGGAAAGCTAAAGAAGCTCGCTCGCTCCAAATCCAGGGCAGGGCCAATGCGTGGCGCCAAAAACTCAAAAAATGCGGGGGCCGTTCGGTTCACTTAAGTTCGAATTAGGTTTGCGCCGCGAAGCGACATTTGCATGTGCTTACACGCGAGTCCCTCAGGCACATTCACCGCCGGCATTCAGGACATGGATGATATCTGCAGTAGAAGAGGCGGCGAGACGGAAAGAGATGGCAATATCCAGGACAACATACATCATGACCAGCAGTCGTTTCAGCCAGCCGAGCGTCTGCACGAATCTATGTGGCACACTGGCAGAGATGATCAACTCCACCTGCTACAAGGAGTGCTTCCAATTCTCGCTGATGGACCAGGACCACGTCTGCTCAGCGGAAGACCCCCTTCTTGCACTGGGTAATGGTGGTAGAGCCGGTCTGTTCGACACTCCGCATCACCATGCTCATATGAGAGCATTCTGCAACAACAATGATTCCGTCAGGCTCCAACACGGCCTGCACCGCACTTGCAACTTCCTCCGTAAGACGCTCTTGGACTTGCAGTCGTCGCGCGTACATTTCAACCGTGCGGGCAAACTTCGACAAGCCAAGAACATAACTCTTCGGAATGTACCCTATATGCATCGTTCCAACAAAAGGCATGAGATGATGCTCGCAAAGACTTGCCACGTGTATGTCTCGCACAATCATCATGTCGCTGCCCTCGACCTTGGAGCGGGCGTCAACTGGTGCAACAAGCTCGGGCCTCAGGCCGTAGCCTTGAGTGAAGAAGGCCATTGCTTTTGCAAAGCGCTCCGGCGTTTTGCGGAGGTCTTCACGTTCGGGGTCTTCGCCAATGCTGGTGAGGATTGCTTTGGCCGCGGATGCAATCTGCGCTACGACTTGGCTGTTCTCCCTTTTCCTGGACTGAGCTGCGACGACGCCCGGAGTACTGCAGAGATCTTGGTTCGCCGACCCATTGTTTCCGTCAGTATGCATTTCAACTGACTTATTGCTGCTGTCAAATATGGCATGCAGGTACCAAAGCTTGAGACTGACCTCTAGTAAGTCTAACTGCTCACGTATTGGCAAAATCCCGAGACACCTTTGGACTGAGAGCTTGATTGCTCCACCAACACGCAACATCAAAGGACAGTGCAAAAGCGAGTCCGATGGAAGGCATCGACGTAGCAAAATGCAAGATCGACCAGGTCCTTTTTGTCAGGCCAGATGACTCTCGTAAGTATGCATGTGCGTCTTTGTCCCTTTCATTGCATTGCTTGTCGTAATGAAGACTTCACATAACTCACACTGGTCACTAGAGTAGATCAAGTTACTGAGGCCCGTTTTCTGCTACGAACTGCTCTCCTAACTGCGGCCTCTCATAACTGCAATATGGCAACTCTAGGACAGTTAAGGAGCGCGCTACGAGACGCTGCATCTTCCTCCTCAAAAGACACCTTGACCGATCTACAATACAGCGACGGCTTCGAGCTCTCCCTCGAAGATCCAGGTCTATCAAACTACCACACTTTCGTCATTCCCCGACTTTCGAAATTGGTGTCCGAAGTTACTAAGACAAAGCAGTCCATCTCGATTTTGGAAATCGGTTCTGGCCCCAAGACTGTGCTTGGCGAGCTTCCCATAGCTCTGCGATGGAAGGTCAACAAGTACGCCGCATTCGAGCCTAACAACATTTTTGCCGGAAAGCTTGAGAGTTACCTTCGCCCCCAAGAAGAGAAGGACACGCCTTTCCCTCATATGACAAGCGAACCTGTCATAATGCGAATTCCGTTCAGTGCAAAAAGATGCATTGCCACAGAAGGCGCGATCCATGAGGATGAGAAGTTCGACATCATACTTTTCTGTCACAGCATGTATGGTATGAATCCAAGACGACCGTTCATCGAAAAAGCCATGGACCTACTCCCGAAGCGTGCAGGATTGATCATCGTTTTCATCGGGGCGATAATATATTCTTCGACGGTCTTGCATGATGCGATACAGCTTCCTACCCAACAGGTCATTTTCGTATCTCAGATGAAGACGAGGAGATCGACAAATTTGCTGCATTCATAGCTGGATTCACAGTGCAGGACTACGCCTTACAGCAGCAGTGGCGAATTATCTGCCGTGATCCAAGTCATCGTCTGGATACCGATTCTGCCCAGCTTGCCTTGAATTCGCCTGAGATCATGGTGGCTTTCAATGCCAGCGCACGCGCGGTTCCAGAGCTGCTATTGAAAGTTCCTTCTCTAAGCGAGAGCAGAGCTCTCGAGAACCCCGAGTCTCGCCAAGCTCACCCAGCGGTGATTTTGAGGCCGACAGATCCCGGACATGTTCAAGACTGCGTACACTGGGCTGTCGAACACGATCTCAGCCTGACCGCCATCGGTGGAAGTCATAGTGGCCATTGCGTGGCAGACAACGTGGTCGCGATGGACATGAGCGCTTTTTGTGAGTTGCAAATTCCACCAGCCAACAAGAATGCATTCCATGCTGCAGAAAGTCTGATCGTGGCTGGAGCTGGCTGCAATGCAGGCGAGATCATACGCACGACCATGGAAGCCGGCTTGACTGTACCTCTGGGTTCTCGACCAAGCGTAGGTGCGGGACTATGGCTGCAAGGCGGCATTGGGCACCTTTCTCGACGATACGGGCTGGCTTGTGATGCAATTGCTGGTGCAGTCTTTGTCGAAGGCTCGGGCCAGATTCTATGCGTTGGGGATATACTCACAAGGACATGAAACTACCAGCCAATGCTATCCGACGGGAGGACAAAAAGGAACTCCTTTGGGCGATCAGAGGCGCCGGCACTAACATTGGCGTTTTGTTGTACGTTGTTTTCAAAGGGTTTAGGGCACTATCCTTCCTATCGCAGAACTGGAAGCTTTCACTCAGCGATAAACCCGAGCTGCAAAGCAGAATTATACAGCTCAGCAACATGACAAAAGGTCTGTCTCGAAACGCCTCTATCGACATGTACATCTTTTACGATTCGGACCAGGTCAAACTTGGCGTGAGCTCGTACGAGGTTTTCTGCAAGAAGCATTCTGCAGGAGTCACTATTCAGGATACAACACCTTTAACCTCCAAGCTACGAGAAACATTGGGTCACGAGGACTCATCTATCATTACTGATGCAGTCGGACTTTTCGAGACAGAAATTTACATCTCAGGCATGCACGGCGGTCATGGTGGCGGAAAGACCTCATCATTCAAGCGATGTGTGTTTATGAGGAACATCGAATCAACGAAGGTAGTTGACAGCCTTTCAGCCGCCATGGCTACACGACCCACTCCAATATGCTACGTTCACCTGCTACAAGGAGGCGGTGCGATCGCAGACACAAGACTTTGATTGCAATGCTTCGGCTCTTGCAAGAGGCTGAAGTGCCTGCTTCGAAGATCTCGGTCATCGTCGTTGCGGAATTCCCTGTTCATGGAGCGCGAAAATGGTTACAAGAGCGTGGATTTGGAGGCGTTGGTATCCAGAGTCTTCTGGTGTTTGGTTGTAGCTGAGTGGTGGCTATTTCCAATGTCTGCATGTCTGTAACTGGCTTGTGACTTGACTACATTTTATATTCTTTCAAGCAACCAATCTCAAAATCTATTCATCAAATCTCATCTCCCATTCTCCTCGCTACTCTCACGCCGGCTCCGCATCCCCGCCTTCACCACGAACATCTACCGCCTGTGCCCTAAACTTCTCAAGTTCAGGCGGCTCCCTCAAAGCCCTCATATTCCTAACAACCCTCACCTCCGCCGCCCTCGTCAACTTCAAATGCCGTTCCATCTCCCTCTCCCTCTCCGCCGCCTCGCCCACCCCCTCATTCAAAACCTTCTCCTCGCCCAGACTCTTCGACACGGCCTGATAATGCTTCGCCGTATCCTTGAGCACAGCATGCATACTCGCCAAAACCTTACTCACAGCCTTCGCCAACGGGAGTTCAGGACCGGAAACCTCATCGGGACTCCTCCAACTCGCGGTATTCAAAACTCCAGCTTGCTGAGCAGCTTCTCTCAATCTCGCAACGAGTAATGCGGCAAACATATCTCCCGTCCCTGAGAAGAAGACAGGTAATGCCGGGACTGTGATGCGGAATAATCTCGGCTTTCCTTCAGACGTAGCCGTACTTCCAATAACACTCAACACCGCACTACTATTCTTTCCCTCCTCCCCCATGCCCGCGATCGGTGTCTCCGGCAACCGAATACTCGTAACCACCACATTCGGTACCGCAAACACCTGATGCAACTTCCCAATCGCAACCCCCATACTCTCCAAATCCCGAATCTTCTCGCCAGAAAGTAATTCCGCCTCGAAAAGATTCGGTAAGATCAGATCCGCATCTTTCAATAACCCCTTATAAGCTTCCACGCATTCCTCCGCCACGTATATTCTTCCATTATCGCCCATTACGGGGTCGAGAATCCAGAAGAATGAGCCGGGTTTCGTTGCCGCACGGGTTTTATTGTCGCGACCGATTTTTCCGACTTCGTGGACTAGGGCCGCGGAGGGGCAGTAGCCGGAGAGGAGGACGTCGAAGTTATGGAGGAGAGCGGATTTGAGGCCCGAGTAAAGGTCTGAGATTTCGGTGGGGGTGGTTTTGCGGCCGGTGAAAGTGCGGTAGGCGACGTGATTACCTGGTGATGATGATGACTATTACGATCAAGTCCTCTGTAGCTGCTTGTGGGTGGTGGGATGCCCTTACTGTAGTTCACGGTATGTATGGCAGAAACCTCGCAGCCCAAGGTCTGCATGCAGAATGTTGCCATTGTGTTCCCGACATATCTTTCAAGCGCGTCACGTCTCAATATACGATGTGCTTGCTCTTGAACTCGATCGCGATCAGACTTACCCCGAGGTGACCTTTTCGACTTACTATTAGCTCTTATCATGGTATCCACGGACTCTTGCTTGGAGCACCCACATGACTGGCAACGGCCAGGACGTGAGTCTCTGGGACAAGCTCTTGAACGTCGCGCTCCGCCATTTTCCGGCTCGCGTTGTCAGAGATACGATATTCGCGCACGCTCGTGTTGGAAAAGGGCTAAATTTCTTTGGTGACTGTGCACTGCACTGCTGTGGGAGAGGTCGCTAATCAACAAATGACGTGGGTGTTGATGTGAAGAAAAGTCCCTGCAGATCTCGGTCTCGCTTCCTTTCGGCACACTGCTCCGATCAACTCCGATATCACGGCCCTGCGCCTTGGTGTGCTTCCATCTCTTCACGCATCTCGCGGCATTCTAACGTTGGCCTCGTACATTCGTTCATGCAGCGAACGGTCTGCCTTCAGAAGGCGAGTTCGGTCGGGATGGCAGCCATGTTCCGGCAGGGCCTTCCGCTTTTGGGCAATGTTTCATCTCGTGCTATGCAATTTACTCCTCGTCCCCAATCTGTTCATCTCTCGTCAGCACACACCCTCAGATTATACTGTAATGAAAGTACCTTCGGTGCGAGGTAGAACCTCAGGTAGCTGTTGTTGCTGAGACCGTACTCTACAAGCAGCGGCACTTCGTTGCTCAAGCACAGCTTGACCTGTGGAGAAAGGCCACTAGCCTTGCAAAAGTTCATGAGGTACTTGAGTGAGAAAGTAAGCGCGACAGGCTCAGAGAGGTTGATCTCAATGTTCTGCTCAGGCTTCTCGACGTTTGTGTGCGAGCGCAGTGTAACAGAGCCGTTGCCAATGTCTCCTGCGCATTTGAAGCCTACACCATCCTTTGTGCACTCAATGGACACTGCAAAATAGATCAGCCCTAATATCTTGTTCTCAGTAGTATATGTTGTCTGCTCATACCTGACTCCGACAATGCAGAAAGATCTCTGGTGATGCGCTGGAACTCAGCACTTGGCATGGTGATGGTCGCAGCATACTCAGTATCTGGAATTCCCAAGTGCTCTTGATCAATGTCCATCAACTTGATGTCATATTCACTGATTCTGTCGCTCTCTGAGCTTTCAAATGTGAAGTTGACGACATCTGGCGCATCCTCGGCCTTCATGGTCAAGATGTCCTCTCCTTGTGCGCATCGCAGGACTTTGGTGAGAGAAGTGAGGTTGATACCGAGGGCAATGTTGCGATCGCAGCGGAAGGGAGAGAAAGATTCGGACTTGAGCATCATGGACACGAGGGCGACGTGCGAGTTGTCCATGGCTTGGAGAGCGATTCCGGAGTCATTGCAGTCGAAATTGCAGTCTTGGACGAGATCTTTGATGGCATCGACCACCTGCAGTAGGTCAATCAGCTCGTGTACCTACATCCATACCGATCGAGACATTTCATACCTTCTTGAGAAGGTTGGCCTGCTCGAGACGTGCTTCCAGCACTGTGTGGTGGTCAGCATGTGTCCATTGTTGAGAATTTCGAGCACTGACTCTTTGGTTCTGCTTATGATTGATTGTCTTGTGAGAAGAGGCTGTATCCGCGTAGTTGACTGAGTGTGTGCAAGTGGAAATGCAGTATGCAGTGCGATACTGTTTGTGACAGGTCGAAGTGGGAGAAAGTTAGTTTGGTGAGACGCGCTTTCTCGGCGGGCGCGTGTCTGGTCGCGTTCGTGACGCGGTTAGCTTTCATTGAAGTTGATCATGAAATTTTGATTGCTCTGATGGTTAAGCATGTTTCACCGCCTACGCGGCGGCTGCTCAGTCCTTCCAGTTGGAATCGGCACACCGTCCTATCGAGGTCTGCGACATCAATATATAATTGACAACAAGTGGAGCTGAGACATCCTGAACCTGCTTGCACTATGATTCTCGTGAAGGCCAGCAGCAGTCTTGCCGAAGATCATCGCAGTCCGAAGCACGCATCCGCACCACAGATGATTCAGCACAATAAGTATTGACTGTGGAAAGGCCAGGCATTGATTGGAAGGCGATAGCTCCGCGAGTCTGGTTGTGTCTATTTCAATAACCCATTACTTGCAGCTATGGCGCATGAAGCATCGTCTAAGATGAGCTCCTTCTCCGAATGACCAACATGTCGGACCGATTACTAAGCTCAAGGTCGCTTTTCGCCCCCGTGGCTCCATGTCAGAGATCTCTTTAGTGGCGACCAACCATGCCAGAAGGAAGCTATTCGCTCGATATAGGTGCGAGGGCCGAACCTTGACTCTCTGCCACACGCCCTCGCTCCATGATCCTGCAGCTCATCATCATGTTAACGTGCCCCAGGGTGCCACATGCCTCAGCCGTCATTTTGAACGATGAGCGATTCGCGCAGAATTGTATCTCTCAACCGGAAGGGGAACCTGAGTCCGGTGTTGTTGGGAGCTGAAGTTGAAATGGTGATCGCAATGTTGGCCCCGTTGAAGCGCACTACATCTTGGGCAGACACTCGCATTGTCGGCGACATGACCATGATGCAGGTCGCACCGAGGAAATTGCTGACCGCTTCAAGCTTTGCACAAGCCATAGAAGAGAGTCCAAGTAAGAACAAATGACATCAATCCTCCAAACATGTCCCCAGCCCAGAGGTCGCCGAATGGTCTGAAAAAGTAGCTCTTCGCATCTTGGTCCGCCTTGAGTGTGAAGATGAGCATGGAAACTATTGCCGTGCCAAAGAAGTAGAATATAAACCCTGGCCACGACTCTAGGCCCAACGTGCCTGCTGCAACACCAAATAAGGATGCGGTAAGAGCGCGGATATTGGAGACGGTCTGTTGTGGCGACGGGTATGTATTAGTGTATGTATGTCCATGGTGCAATTCAGGCGGCGTCTCATGTGAGATGGAACAGATTCTAGTTCGGTCAAGGATGCGAGGCTAAGAAGAGGTGGACTCACACGAGCATTGTGCTGGACGCTATCCTGCACGATTGGGTGCGTGGTCAATTCCCACTCATCGATCATATTTGGCCGATGCGGTTACGGTGTCTGGTGGCGCAGTCCGTACACGTTTCGCTTGGAGCACTGGAGCTGTCTGTCCAGCCGTAGAAGCAAAAGGCAATATAGAGCTGCGGGTACCTGTCGACAAACGTCGCTGGTCGATTCGCAACGTAGATCGCTGGTGCCTGTATCGAGACGTCCGGAGCTGGGCGGCACCTGCGAGGCTTCCAAGGTTGTGCTGATGGCAGACTGCGTGAAAGTTTAGATGAGAGGTGAGGTCGTCCGCGGAAATGGCGCTACAGCGCCAAGCCAAGAAAGCCTCTGCCCGAGGTTGCCGCGGCGTCCGAGCGTCCGAACATTACTTCGGGAATATGGTGCCTTCTTACACTCATTTGCCCTGGCGATCTGCCTCGCTGACCGCCAGCAAATCTTGCGGCTTAGGCGGATGTGGTGATAGCGGGGCGCAACGGTTCCTGCATTTCAAATCTGCACTGCGTCTTCGGCAAGGCCTTTGTCCTGTCTCCGGAGCAGGTGCAGTTCGGACAGGGCAAGTCGTCAGAGTTTGTGGTCTCAAACGTACAGGGCAGTGTTATCAGAATGAAAGTGGTGAGCGAGAGTAAACAAGGTGCATGTTCGGCCTATCGAGGTCCTTGTGGGACTTTTCCCAGCGGACGTCTGTATCTCCATCGGGATGCTGGGCTGCAAACGTCTCCCATGTCTCCGGACCGAAAGAACAACCCAGCCCGAACTTCACGCTATGCCATTGTTCTCAAAACGCTGAATTGCTTGACACTCCACGACCTAAGATGGGATGAAGCCAACAACAGCAGCATCAAGCGGTCGTCCCAAGTCAGGCTTCTTCAAGCAGCTTTCCATATTCGTCCAAATACCTAGAAATGTGAGTTACTTTGAATCGTGTCGAGGCGGGTCTGTCCCGGACTTACAATTGCAAATATCGACTCAAGGTGTATCCCGGTATAGACGTAGCTGCTTGCAGCAACTGTATTGCTCTCTTGAAGTACTGTTGATTTATGCGGGGACTTGACGTATTTCCGAGAGACATGTATGCTTCTGCAGCCTGTTGGACGCAATCAGTAGAGCGGACAGCATTGGATACCGTAAGTGGAAACATACTGTGGCAAGAAGATCGCCAGACACATTCTGTTGTGATGTTGCTGCGGCAATGGCACGCTCAAGGTATTCTGTTGCAGGCTGAAGAAAGCCTCTCGCTTCAACGTAGTCGGCACTTCCAGCACGTCGCTCTGCTTCAGCTGCTGAAATGGAATCATTGCTTGATCGAATAGAAAGCTGAGATGCCGTGCTTGACGATGAGTGTCCCTCAACCCGATGAATCTTAGCCAGCGTTGGCTGCGCCCTCAATAACCAGACCTGGCCGATTCCTCTCAAAGCGGCAAGGTTGCCTGGCTCACGTTGATTGATAACAAGCCATTGCCGTGCGCACCACGATGCGACATCGATCACGGCGCCGCTATCTGCGTCCATGAAAGCCAAGCGCTGCATGGCAGCTATCACCCACACTTGCTCTGATGTTCGATCGGATCTCTGCATAAAGGTGGTGGTATCGAGGTGAGTGATGATGGTCCTAGCCAGTGTGAGGTAGTTCCGCCAGTCTTGAGGGGATGTGCGCAACATGGTGTAGATCTGATTAAGACTTGTCTTGCACACGTTTATTCGCTGCTCTTCATTCATGACTTTCGCAACAGTTAGAAAGAATAAAAGCATTTGAGTTAGTAGGTCTCTCATGCTGACCATGCCTGTATCGACCTTTCATCTTGTATCTGTGACATCTCGTTTCCAGCCTGCGAGTGCGCGTCGCTGCGTCCCAGTAGCGACTGCACCACGGCATGGGGATGTCGAAAGCGAGGATCTTTGTACGATTCTTGGCGGGCCCGACGGCCCATCGAAATGAACACCTGCTGAAGCAGTTTTCTGGCTACGCAATCAACAAATCACAGCGGCGGAGATTGCGAGCATGCATGGTTCAAACGTGGCGCTCGACCCAAGCGACAGGTAGTCTAAGTCGATTGCATCATGTCGATGGGACCAGATATAGTAGAGCTGCAGCGGTATCGCCACCCTTGACGCAAGAACGGATGCTTGGATCTGCAGCGGCCGTTCCGAAGGGCTTGTAGCGTGGGCAGTGCGCAGCATGGTTGCTTCAGGTCCAGGGACCATACCTATCACCAGACCGTTCAGCACCAACGAGGGAAAGAGTAAGATTCCAGAGCCGGAGGAGGCGCATGAAGTGATCGACATCAATATAGCCCGCAACAGGTAGTCGCGAGTACGATTCGAGAACCCAAGAGATTGTCGGTCTTGGGCGGTAGACGTGGTGCAGTAGGATATGTCGTGAAATGAGGTCTGATTAGCAAGCACAAGACCTTGGCAGTTTATTAATACTAAAAGGCAGATTGAGGCCAAGCCATCAAACATGTCTTGACAAAGCAGGGTATCGGCCATTTCACAGATGAGGACTCGAACCATACATGCGCATTCGGCGATGCAATGACGACTGCCGTGGTGTGTGAGAGTAGCTCCGAGGTCAAAGTGAAGTTGAGCCGGCCGGCATCATGCTTGTACCTTCCGATCTAACCATGCGACAGCGGGAAGGATGGAAGTTTGGTCATTCAGATACCGGCGACCGCTATGAACTCTAGGCTGCGCTGCATCATCACTTACACAGTTGCCTCGATGCGCCAATCAGCAAGCCGATGCAATTGTAGACGCGCTGCAAGCCATCTTGCTTTACCTAGTACTGTATAGACTTCGCGTGCCGATTCTCATCTGAGAAAGCGATTATCGTTAGTAATTATAAAGCGGATATGTTATTAGTCCTGCAGAACATTGCACTACTATCGTTTGCCCAAAACCTGTTAGTACGGTCCGTAGAGCCGCCTCCTCTCTTAAGCCGTATAGGGGTAGGCAAAAGGGGCACTTTTACGTAGTTTTTATTGTATTTCTTTCTAATTGTCGTCGTCGAGTAGAGGATAATCGTGTGTTCGAGCCCCGTACGTATATTCTAACCGTTTCCGAGTGCTATTACTATAATAATACCGCTAAGAGAGACACGTACGAATGCTAGTAAGCCGCTAGTACGATTAGACGACGAGATAAATAACTCTACGCTAAAGAAGAAGGTAATCCGCACTCTCGAGAAGACTATTAGTCTACCGCTAATAAGAAGGAATGCTAATACGGCTTAGTAGGTAAAGGGTAGCTCGAAGAGTAGGTCTTCTAGTAGTAAGAAGAGCAAAGCGACTACTGATCTAATTATTAATCTACTAAGTAAGAAGACCGTAGCGGCGCCGGTAGAGAAGACTAGCGGTATAGAACTACTAAAATCGGCTATTTCTTCCTCCGCTTCGATCTCTATATCCTCCTCTTTTAATGCCGCGTAGAAGGCGGCTACTACTACTAGTAGCTAAGCCGCTCTCGCTATAGGCGCCGCTCCTATTACTTAACCTAGCTCTTTCTCGGACGAGACCTTCTATTATAAAGGCTAGTAGACGCTATTTAATACGACGAAGAAGGGTACGGCGCGGACTATAGGAACGAAGCTAGTAAAGTTCTTATCGGCTAATAAGTAAGAAGCATAGAACGGATACGCATAGGTGGCGAAGATAGCGAAGTTAAATAGTCTCTCGGTAGCGTTTAATCGAGTCGTTATCCGTACTAGAGCCGACGGTTAGAAGACGGCTTTTACTAGCGATTAGCATTAAGCTAGAGATAATATTAATAGCGATAAGGTCTATAGTAATGCTTTGCAAGCTAGTAAAGAATTAGTACTTGCTTCGCGGAAGAATGTCTTTATTAATATCGACTTCTTAACGAAGCCTAAACTAGTAGCAGCTAGACCTTTAAGTATTAAGAAGTTAGGTAAACCGGCTTCTAATCTAACCTTAATTTAGCTTACTAACGCCGGCGTTATAATAGCTAAATTAGAGGTATAGAACCGGTAGGACTATTATATTCTAAGAGACCTTCTTTATAGCTATAAAGATTGTCTAAATTATTATAAGGCTAGTAAGTATGCTTACTAGCGTAACAAAGCACTAAAGGACTATAGTAAGAACTACTTTCCGTTTTTTAACGCTACTATAATTAAGGGCTATACGGCTATCGCTTCTAGCGAGTAGAAACGAGATCTAGTAACTAATAAGCTCAAGAATAGGATACCGGTACGTCTAGAGATAATAGTAATTAAGAGGAAGATCTAGTTAGAGTTTTAGAAGGATAAGGCTCGAAGAATGCGAGGCCGCCGAAGTAGTAAGTCCGAGTCGCTACGTAAAGCCGTTCCTACTACTAGAAGTTAGCCTATTATTCTTAACAACTTTAGTAAGGACTTCGGTCGTATTCTAGATAGTAAATTGCGCGGAAGTAGTATTATACCTAGCACGCTAAGCAAGATACCTACTCGGGCTCTTATAAAGACTAGTCTACGTAATGTTATACTGCCGCGGAATATCGTTTAGTACGAGAAGCTAACGGTAGAATTCTTCGACTAGGTTGCCTTATAGCGCGAATTCTAGAATTACGACTATCTACGGCCTTATATCGCCTATTTCGTCGGTATAGGCTAGACGCTAGAGACTATCTATAATTTAACAAAGGACGACTAGCCGGCGGCACTTACTAAAGTAGATAGAATGAGGTTGAGATTAAAGAAAGCTATCGTCGAGTTTATAAAGAAGAAATAGGATAAGATTATAGCGGCGGAAGTAGCCGTAGCAGAGGAAGGAAAGAATTTCTAGGAATCCGGGCTTTCTTTAGGTATCGATCTTTATATAACTATAACATATATAAACTTGTAATAAGCGGGAGATTCTTGCGGTAATAGCACTTATTTAGCCTATATATAGTTAATTAATATAATGCGTTAGTTATAGAATACTAAGAGCGATAGGTAAAGCTAGCGTTCGAATACATTTATTCGAATCTCTAACTCGGAGCTTTCCGCGCGCTAGTAGCGACTAGTTATATTACTCGAAATCTTCGAAGTCTACCTCTTATTCGCTATCTTCCTCGTTATCTTCCTTAAATACACCCTTACCGTTATAATACACTTCCGATATATCGTTAATTATCGACGGTAAGGTATTCTAAGCCTATTCTATCTATTAGGACTCTTCCGAGTCTAGCGCTATTATATTCTAAGCCGCGCCGGCGGTATATTCGAATTCGGCTAGATCGTACGGAATATCGATACTATCGACGTTATATCTAGCAAACTTAAATAACTCTCTTAATCTACGACCCCTATACTTATATAGGTACTAAAGCAAGTAGTCCTAGAAGCCGATAAATCTTAGAAGGTCGTTTCGGTATTTTTTAATAACTTTCTTTAGTAGATTAAAGCTACCCTCGATCGGGTTTAAATCCGGCGAATACGGCGGTAGAAATTCGAGGTAATAGCCGGTATCTAGTATCGCCTACTTAACTCTCGTACTATAGTAGATACTAGCATTATCTATAACAAATATTATCGGCGGACTATCCTCGAGGCAAGGTAGGACTTGCTTAGTTAGCTAGAGATAGAAACGATTAGAATTAATCGATCCTTAGTATATATAATATTCGCTAGTAACCGGCCCTATATACCTAGGCTGAGTTTTGAGCCTACATAAGAGGCCTCCTTCTGCATTGTAGATAGGGCACCAACCTCGTACAGTACATTGTTTATGTCACACTTCTACAATGCCTATATTGCAGGGCTCTAGTCTTTAGCCTAAGCAACCGTCTTGTTATCCTATTATGCTAAACATAGCTGCCTATATTGCTATAGGTTATGTTACCCTCGGTAGCCTATACTATTACTGCTAGTGGTAGTGGTGGTTTTGGTTTCCGTCCTTTAATAAGTATACGGAAGATAGCTATATAGCGTAAACGTAGGCAATACTAACTATCTAACTTCTTGCCTTATATAGGCAACATTAACGCAAGTTAGACCTCTTGCCGACTATCTATACTTCCGCTAACTAGTCTTCTAATTAGATATAGTCTTATCGATAAATACGAGTCGATCTACCGGTTATTTAGCGCACCTAATCGTCTATAAAGCCCTTAAGAACGGATTACGCTCCTTCGCTTTACGTTTAACCTGCTTACGAGTTATACCTATCTCCTGCTTTAGGACCTTCGATAGTATAGGCGCCTTTACCTAAACACCCTCTCCGCTATTACTTATCGGTCGTAGCCGTAGAAACTCGTCCTTAAGAGCTTAGATTTTCTCTATAAAATAGGCGTTAGGCCGGTCTTTAAGGAAGCCGCGTAAGAAGTTACGTTCTTACTAAAGAAGGATAGCCTTATTGCTACGCTTTAGTCCGCTAGTATACTTAGTATATAACGCTCTAAAGATGCGGTATTTCTCTTAATATCTATATACCGATCTAATAGTTATTAGCAACTTTATAAAGGTATAAACCTGCTTAGCAGTCTAACCCTTTGCAAATAGGTTTATTAGCTAGCCTTACTAGTCGAGGTTTATACGAGCGGACTTAATATAAGAAGGGTATATTAGCAGGTAGATAGGGTGGTAGTAGGTATAGGTAGTATTCGATAAGGAGCTAGGAGGAGAGGGAGGAAGGCAGGCAAGTTAGCCTATTGCTAAGCGCTAAGCCCTACCTAAGGTACTAAGACCCTAGCTTTACTTAGCCTAGTTACATGCTAATTACGTATAGCCTCTTTAGCCC